TAGGGGTCAGGGGTAGGGAGGGGACTACTAGTTTGAGCCTTAGGGGTAGAGACAGGAAAGAGTCAAAGGCGGAAAATCTGAACCGTTGGATTGAAGAAAGAGAAAAGTTTTCCGTATAATGCGGGTGAGTTATTGACCGTTCGATCAGATTACAAGAGCACGCGTGAAAGCTAAAGTGGGCCTCATCAGGTTTGACAAAAATGGCGCATCTTACCCATATCCCCTCCAATATTTTATTTTTCTTCGTTCATTTTTATTTGTCATATTTAATCTCAATTGAGTATTTTTTAGAATTTGATTACCTATTGGGAATAGTGAAACGAGTCAAGACTAGTGGAGCCTTTTATATAATTTCAATAATTTAATTACTTACTTATTGCTCTACTAAATTTTTTTATTTGGAAAAGTTATCCAACCAAAGTTTGTACTATGAATGAATTGTTTTTCAAATTTCATTGACATTTTTCACCTAACGATTTGCATTTTTGGTCTTTTTCATATATAGAATTTTCAACCAAAGAAGAACGTCTTTTTCCTTTTCTTTTCTTTTTTTCAAGTTTTTACTCATTGTTGTTTGAGAATAAGAAAAGGGAAAGTGATAACATGATATTCTCAAGAAAAAAAAATGTGAAGATAGAGAAGAAAAAAGTTATTTTTTTGTACATGTCATATATATAACAAATATAATATGACAAGGTAGTAAATGTGTGAAGGTATATACGTATATATTATGTATAAATACAGCTCATCGTTAATTATTATTCCAAAAGAGAGTATTAAGTTTATTGATTTTATGTATATACGTAATTTATACCAATCTTTTTATGGGACTGAGAATGTAATTGTCTCTTCTTTGTTTAGGTCAAAAGTGGCGAATCTTTGTGTTTTATTTATGGTTAATTTAGTGATAGAAAGTTTTGTAATTTTAGTCATTCAAATTGTTTTTCTTTTTGGATGAATTGTTATCTTAATTTTTTTAATAAATTATTTCTTTTATTCGGGTATGCTTAATAACCGAATAATCAAATAAAAAATTAATAACAATCAAATCAATATATAATATTTGATTTAATTTTAATAATTTAAAAATCAAATAAATTAACTTAGCTTTGATTTTGATGAACAATTGACTCAAGCCTTTGTGTTAGTATGGATTTAGATTTTCGAAGTGAGCCAAAGTCCACTACAGTTCCCAATATATGATTATTTTTTAAAAAGATATAACCGATGCAATGAAAAGAACAATAAAAATGTTTGAAATACTATAAGCACAACTCACTAAAAACTTATGTGATGCCAATGTTTCGTTGAATATTACTGATCAAACACTCCAGAAATCGTTAGATAGCTTGGACAAACATAGATAGTTTTAAAATAAAAATTAGTACTATCATTTTATTCTTTGTTGAATATTATAATTAATTTCTAGATAACATATTTAGTAATTAGTATCAGGATAAGTTATTTCTCCAAGGATTAAATAATAGTATTGAAATTAGTTATTCAGGGATAAAATGATTAAAATATCTATGAGGTCCTTCAAAAAAAAAAATCTACTAGGAGGATATTTTCGTAAATAATAATTTCTTCTTAAAAAATTTGTGATGCACATTATTTTTAATACAATTAATTAAATAATTTATTAAAAATAATTAAATAATCTATTAAAAATAATACCAAAATAATTAATGTCAGCCTAATATGTCTTCAAACCAAACAATCCTTTATTTTCTTGCCTTAATGTGTGGTTATCGTTAATAGGATGCATATATTGTCTCGTTTATGTTCTTTCTTTTATACTCATGGATACACTATTTTATCCTAATAGAATATGAAAATGGCTAAAGACATTTCATCCATCTCATTTTAACTGTCGTTTTTTTATTGTACTAGAAGTATAATTTGGAAACCTTTGACAACTCTACAGTTGAATTTCTAAGGTTACAAATTTTTTGAGCTAAAGCGACAATTAAAATGGGACGAGAGAATATAATAGTTTGCTTTGCTAATTCAATTGGAGATAATAATTACAATTAAGATAAGCAAGTTAATTATCATGCGGACAAACATTCTATTGCAAGACATTATAGAAGATGACGATAACATTGGTGTTGTAAGAAAGAAGATTTAGACTTTTTAATGATCTTTTAACGAGTAATTAAAATTATAGAATGAGTTAATATCCCACGCTTGAATAAGATACAATGAAGAATGAACAACTTGTATTTCACATTTGACAACTAACAAACATTAATTCTGTGATCATTATTGTAACTAGTTTTATTATTTTACAAGTACTTAACACATAATTAATCATTTATTCATCCCACGCCAACCTATAGAATTAATATTATGAAATATATGAGTTGTACTTTGCAACTGATCGACATGTAGAAGAAATTAAACTTTCTTAAGATCATATGCATTCTTTATTAAGTTAAGGTTAGTTTGTCCAATCATGTTTATGTCAACCTAGTCAAAACTAAGTAACATATGACAGCAAGATGGTATAGTTTTAACTATCATATACTTGTAGTTTGTGATATGAAAAGTCAAAAGTTATTAATGTGTAATGTATTTTATCCATCTATATGTGCTTGTATCTTTTAGAATTTATCTATAATATTGTTATTGTCGCTATATCTGGCATGAAAGTGAGGTTTGAAGAAGCAAAGGATTAGAGTGATCAATACTTAAACGACTCAAAAAAGAAGAAAGGCATATATAGTAATTGATCAAATATTTTGAGAAGTTACTTACTTCGAAGATGTTTTCTAGGTGAAACAACTGCTATATATCTCACTTGAAAATTGTGTAGATGAGAGGATATAGGATATATATAAATGTATCACTGGTTAACAAAATCTTAATTAATCATAATTAGTGACTTGATTAGCATCAATAGTAATAGCAATTTGAAAAATCCATAAGAAAGTTCAAGCATGCATCCAATAAAACCTTGATGCTGAAAGATCAAAGGGCCACAATTTTATCCTTTTTCAGATAATAGCAAGCATTTTTCAAAAGTTATTAACCAACAAGTGTTAAATTGTCAACATTTAATGGACCACCATATGGTTATATTCTTTGTTGGCTCAAACTTAAATATTTGAGTCCAAAAAAATAATCTCTTTTTTCCCCTTTCATTTTCAAAGGTTGTCTTTTGTTTTCAATAAGGCTTTCATAGCTTTGAATTTTGTGCATAAGCATGCAATTTTTGGACAGCAGCACGCCAATTTGCCAACCTTACTATTGTCATTTATCTTTGTTGTCATTAGCCATTCACACTTTCAAAAGTTTTTGCATTGTTTCTCTAGTTGACGTTGTTTTATACTTATCATATTTTATCCAAGTTTCGTAGTATCAGAATTTTTATTGAGTAAATTCTACATCTACTTATATAGTAACAATTAACTTAATTATATGTATGATTTTTCAACAAAGAGATTTATTTGAGCTCTCGAGATTCACCTCTATTTCACATCCTACGATCATTTTATTAACTCTTTTTTTTTAATATAGTTATAGAGATAGTGATAGTTATATTTATCTAACTTGATGTTTCTCACATCTCGAGTGTATGAACAAAATGAATTTGACGTGGTCTACTTTTGTAGGCATGAGGTAAAACGAGTGAATAAATGTTGTGCAATGAGCTATGAGCTAAGCTAGCATGCTTTACCATTTAATATATAATATATTATATTGACTTTTTGAAGGAAAAATAATGACACATTTTCATTAATTATCTTATAGCGGTTCACAAAAAAGAATGTTTAAAACTTTGGTAGGAAAATAGCTTCAATGAATTAATTTGAGTGTCAAGTATATATATATGGAGAGAACTGTTTACAGTACAAATTAAATATACATGTGTCATAGAAATGTTTTATCTTCGAAACTAGTTTTATGGAATATTTTTTGGTGTTTGATTGGTTATAAAAGTAAGTAATATGTGCCAATCATAGAATTTATTGAAACAAGTTTTGAAATCAAATTAAAATATTTATAAAAAGTGAATATAAGGAGAACATGGTAAGTTAACATCGAGTAAATATATTAGGAAAAATTTCAATGCTTAGATACACTTAGGGCGAACAAAACAGGGTAGCGAATATTTTAGCTAAAGAAGGAGCAAAGACTGAGCTTTTTATGGATTAATTACAAAATCCCACGCTTTAGTTTACTTATTACCATTATTCCCTATAAGTTTTACAAATTTTCAAAATTCCTCATTTTCGCGCATCAGATTAGTGTATCTCGCGCATCAGATTAATGCATCAGCGCTTATATTATTGTATCTCGCGCATCAAATTAGTGTATCATGTATATAATGTAATGTATCTTACTTAACGATTAATGTATCTCGCGCATCAGATTAATTAATCAGCGCTTATATTATTGTATATGTTTGAGGGATTTCTGTAATTATAAACTTTTAAGGGATAGATTGTAATTTTGCCTTAAAAGTATGAGATTTATGTAATTTGCCCAAAATTTAGTCCTGCGAATAGTTATTCAAATTATAAAAATTACCTACCAAAATTACTTTAGCAACAAAATCATTCTAACTATTACTATCTCCGTCCACTTTTAATTGTTATATTTTCCTTTTTCAGAGTCAAATTAAACTACAAAAACTTTAACTAATATTTTACAATGTATTTTTTCATCATATTGATATGCAAAAATAACAATTTATAATACTTTTCGTATAGTTTTTAAATATCTAAAGTTTTTATTTAAAATATCAAATTAATGTAATCTAATTTAAATTTGAAAATCAGTCAAAATTGACTATCGAAAAACGTAACAACACAAATAAATGCGGATGAACGGAGTATTACACTAACTCAAAAATACTACAAAATCACTGTTGCTTTATAATTATGTTGGATGGGTCATACAATGGTCAGTGTTAGCTGTTAGATTTCCATCCATTAATACATGTCAATTTTAAAAACTATAAGGACTTATTTTGAGTTAGTGTATATTTGAAAGACTATTTTGAGTTGATGCTCAAACTTAAGGACTGTTTTGAGAAAAGATTTTTCTCAACTTTCTCTACACCGGAGAATGCACAACTAGACCACCAGATTCCGGGCCGTGTTCGCTGTGCATCAATCGGAGAATGCACAATTAAATCGCGGGGGCCGTGTTCGCCGTCGAGTAGAGGTCGGAGTTATTGTGTTCTCTTTCGCCTGATTCTGTAATCCATTTTAATTGGTGAGATAGCCTCTTTAGGGTTGAGATGCAGATTGACTAATAATGGGTCTGGAAAATCTGAAGCAACTGACGCCTTTTATCAAAGAAGCATTTCAGCAAACACTACTCGTAGCCAAATTCCTCTGTGGTATTCATGTCACCAACAGCTACATCTGCACCTTCGCTCTCGTACGATATCATAGCCATTACTATTTTTCTTAGTTTACTACTTCATGATTTGGGACAATTGAGCTGCAATTTTAAATCTGTATTTTATTTTATATATTTTGGGCAGACTCAAGGTCCAAGCATGCTTCCAACGTTTAATCTGACTGGAGATCTTGTTTTGGCTGAAAGGCTATCAACTCGGTTTGAGAAAATGCAACGTGGAGATGTGGTGCTAGTGCGTAGCCCTGAGAACCCGAGAAAAATTGTGATCAAAAGACTCATGGGTATGGGTGGTGATACTGTTAGATATGTTGTGGATCATGCAAATAATGGAATAGAACATACTATTGTGGTAATTAAGAATTGATCAAATACCTTCATTTACAACTGATTTTCCCCTTTTGCAGTGATTCTTTGGCCGTTGGTAACAGTTTGTAGTAATGTAGTTGAGTTTTTGCTGCCCCCTTTCTTTTCGTCTCTCCACTTTTGTTTCTTAAGTGAATATGCTTTGAATGTGAACAGGTACCAGATGGACATGTTTGGATTGAAGGAGATAACAAATTTAATACCAACGATTCGAGGAACTTTGGACCTGTACCTTATGGACTTGTACAGGGCAGAGTCTTTTGGATTGTCAGTGATTCTTCTCTATTTTGATTTTTAGCTAATTTGCCAAATTGCTATGACTTGATTATATTTTGGAATTACTTTTTGCTTAATTTCTTGGAGGTGTTTTCGAAGGTATGTTTCATGCCATCATATTGATGTCCTTATAAGACAATTTTTAATTTTTTAAAATAAAATTTGGTTAAGTTTGAATTGGTAAGTCAGATTTTTATTTTTGTATTGTTTGATAAGATTAAAAGAATAGCTAAGTCTCCTGTAGGACTTGCCAGAAGAAACCTGCCATAGGAATCATGTCTAGCTTGTGCATAAGCAGCATTTTCAGAGGATTATGTTGTGCTAAATAGTGTGTACGCTGATTTAATTGGTCTGTTTGCTACAATTTGGTTAGTTAGGGGCTTAGGGCTAAGATCTACATATATGCATAAGCACACCAAATCTTGTGAACGTGTTTAATACTTCAGGTTCTTGTAGACTAGTTGATAATACTTGTGAAATTCATCCAATATGTTTTATGTTTCTGACTTGAATTCATAAGCCAACAGATATGTCGCTAGCTATTTCTGGAGAGTCATATTGAATTAGTAAACTAGGAATGTTGTAAAACAAATTGTGCAACTTTTTTGATCATTTTTCCATATTTTAAGACTTGTTTGTGCAGCATTCTATCTTTAATTTTGCTGTGTTGTAGAAATCTAAAAGTTCTGACGTTGTGATTAGGTATGGCCTCCTGAAGATTTTGGATCAGTAGGAAGAGAAGTACAGTAATCAACCTTTCAAGGTACGCTTGTTTAGAATTTCATGTTTAAAATGTTTTTGCTAATTAGGAGGTTGGATCATTTGTTATGGGATTGTGCCATTGCTTTGCCATATTTTCCTCATTTCACTTTGATATTTGTCTTCATTTTGTCACTGATTGGATTCTGGTGTTCTATATTTTTTCTCTTTATTTTTCCAAATTAGTCTTAGTGAACTATTTATGCTACTCTCAATGCTCTCAAGAACTTATGATTGTGTGAACTTTCTATGTGTTAAACTTCATGTACTCAACCTTAATGAGAGGTAGCAAAATGTTTAGGAATCAAATTTTGTGTTTAGGTTTCTTCCTAGTGTTTTTCTTTTTAAATGTTTTCTATTTTCTCCCCCGGCTAATTCAAATTTCCTCCTGGTGGTTTCCTTGTAGGAAATTTGCACATTTTCAAACTAACCTTCGTGTTTGCTTCATGTTTTATCTAGCGTATTACATCCAAATGCTAATTGAATACAGGATGAAGCTTCTTTTTGGTTATGACTGAAAAGATGTGTGCTTGGTAATGTATGACAAGATTATGGCTCGTAATAATGTATCTTCTGCATGATATTCTGATTTTTGTCATGTTGTGTTCTATAAGAATAATATGATGCTGGCATGTGATGAATTTAAATGTAGAAACCTGATAGGTGAGAATTTATATAGCTGACCCCAACTTGTATAGGAAGGTATATATGTGTTGTTGCTTCCCATAACAATGGCATATAAACCTGTTTTCCTTGTTGGTAGCTGAAACCGGTTAATGGACTTTACCTTGGCAGATTTGGAGTATGCTTGTAGAGTATTCTCTTACAAGCATGGTTTTTAAACAATTTACTGAAGATGGCAATTGGTGGGTTGCTTTACTACTAGGTTCGAGGTGGAAGACAGGACGCCGGAGCTGTTAAATATATTCGGTTAATGTATTTCTCAAGCTCCAAAGGCTGCACGGTTTGCATAATTTATTCTTGAAGTGCCACTGCTAATGCATTAGCAAGTTTCTAGCTCGATAGGAACCACATTGGTCTTCCATATTTACTTATGCCCAAAAATTGTTTCAATTTCTTTAACATGTGAAAGCTTCTTTTCTGTTTTACTTTGTCGTTGTTCTTCTATCAAAAGAGTCGTTCGGGACTTGTGGACCTAAGGGTTGTGGTCTGGCGGTCACTTCTCATATCTAACTCGAGCCTTTGTAGTCAGAGTTACTCGATACATGTTACCGCTGGGAAATTACATGTACCTGGTGTCTAAGGTGCAGGCAAGCTTTGCCAAAACACCTCACAATGTTAAATTTTTCATTTTTGGGCAGTTACATGTTCCATTTAATAATACAGTAGTAATTTTTTTTTATGTTAAATTACTGCAGCATATATCCAAAAGTTGGGAATTGACTGTATACTTCATATTGTACCATTCAGCTCGTTTCATTTCGACGCTTGCAAATAAAAGACAAATTATGGGTCCTCCTAATGCTAATTGCAAATACATTGTATATTTTATACGACGAATTTTTAAGCCATCCAAAATGCAGAATTTACTCTGCCAATTAGTCAATGCATGCACTTGAAAAATAAAATAACGGTAAGATTACAACATCATTAAAGGACATCTCTATGTTAAGAATGGCACTACAATCGTAAATTATAATCACACAACACCAAATTATAGGTAAGATCACGTGAGATGAAAACAAAAAGGAAAGAATAAAATTCTATAAAACCGAGAGAATTTTAAACAAGGGACGAAATTATTTTTTTTCAAAAGAGTTGCTAAAATACGATGAAATGGACTGATGTTGAAGAATCGACAAAATGCCACTTGAACCCAGAGCTAGTTAGTTCTCCCGAAAAAAAATAGTTCTTAGTAGGGTAAAATAGATATTGTCCTTTTAAATGCTGACCAATGGCTAATTATTCTCTAGCGCAAATTGCATTATATCCCATTTTATGGCAACCATATATGTAAGATAATCAGATGAAAAGTTTTGAAGGGCAAGAAAAATCTAAAACCTCATCATATCAACAAAAAGAATCTGTAAAATTTAGAAAGTTCATCGCAATGTTTGCTATGTACAGGAATCCAAGTTATGCAGGCATGTTTACCCTGAGCAACCACCTTGCATAGTTGCATGGGGTATTTTTTCCGTTGAGTTGAGCTTTCTTCGATCACTCAACCACAATACCGACCACTCAACTGAGAAGTTCTCTCATTTTTTGTATTGTCAGTCCCTCATTTCTAGCTGAAAATCACCAATCAATGTACAATTCCATCACGATGATCATATGGGGCTCGCCCTTGAGACCTGCATCCACAATGCTTAGAACACATTGGTACAAGTTTGTGAATCCATCTAGTCTAAGACAATGAAAATCAAGAAATGAGTGGAAAGATCTCCAGTGCAGAAAGTTTGAGTTCTTCATTGATTTTGCACTCTACTTTCACATTCTCTTTTGGGTTTTGATGTTCGGTTAAAGTGAGGTTAAAAATAATGTTTGTATAAGTTGTCTTTCAACTGCTAAGCTGCAATTCTGGCGAGTTTGTGGATCTTACGAAAAATTTAATGGACAGCTAAAATGATTCGTACCCATAGCTTCACCTACCATGATTTCCCGTCCCTAGTGTAATGTGCGAGGAGATAAATAATTTATTTGCTTTGTCTTTTAACTTTTTTCCTTTTCATTTGATCAGTGATAGGTTTATAGCCCTTGTAAAAGGACATGCATTTTCTACATATTCCTTAGTCAAGATCATGATGCACATGACTAGAGATCAATCAACAAACAAGGTGTGCATTAGAGTCAAAAGAAGGCAAGTAACCTGATTTTGCACACTTGCAGCAGCTGTCCATCGCTGAGGCTGAACTGTCACTGAACTGTCACTTATAAAAGCTATTGTCCTCGACTCCTGTTGACTGAAAGTGACAAGTGGAGGTGGTAGTTCTCTCATCACCCATAACACAAATGCTGAAGGTATAGAAGAACCTGGAAAATATTTTCATCAGGTACAGAGTATTAGAAAGTTTCCCCCCTTTGTGAATAGAACTCTAATTTGTAGGAAAGAACTGCATTGTAAGATCAGCTCCCCCCAACAAAACACGTACAAGCTACTAGTATTCTTGGTTGAAGAAGTAATTGGAGTCTCCATACCATAGCCCAATACAATGAAGATAGATGCAATTTCTTAAACTAAAGAACAACAACAACATAACCAGTGTAATCTTACAAGTGGAGTCTGGGGGGAAGAGCAGGAACTATGAGGGAGGCAAGCAATATCTTGACGCACCATTACTAAATCCCCTCTCAGTCATGTTCCGATTTTTTAAAGAAATATCTGATATGTCCCAATCCAGCTCTTATGTTAAGTCCTTACAACATAGCTCCCAACTTCTGTTGAGTGCGTCCAGAGAGACATCTCACAACAACTCAAAATGTTTACGATATTAATGCACTTATATATCTCAAAAAAAATAAAAAAATATTAATGCACTTATATAACATCATCAGAGCAACCTCTGATTGTTAAATTGGTTCCTTCCACCATGTTTAGTTCAGCCTTCTTCATCTAATTAACTACAGTTAGTAGCTCTTAGGTATAAGGGGTGGGCTTGAGGAGCATCTCGTAGCTTCAACAATTGGTAAAAACAATTAGCAGGCAGAAAGCAGAAGTTCCCACTGAAGTCTAGAATTTCAAATCAAGCTTTCAGTAAGGAACAAGTTTTAAAGGGTACCTATAAAATAATACAAAACCATGAGAAGAGATGTACAAACACCATTTATCTTCTGTCCATGCCAGTTAAAAAGAAGCTGCATTAAAAGCATTATCTTTTAGAAACTTATGCAGTCAAAACAAAAGACGATCTCATGAGACCAGCAGAAGACATACGGGTATATCTGTGAATACGGCGACAGTGGCACTTGAAGTGAAACATAGAACAGAAACAACTGCCAAGCCTGCAACCTTCATTTGACAAACATATAATAAAAAACCGAACTTCACAATAAAATAATCTATCACAATCTGTGTCATGAGAGCTAAATTTTAACAAGGAAGAAAAGAAGAGAAAGAAAAGTGCAGTTTATTCAAGCTCAGTTCTTAAAACTAGAACTGTAAAAGATCTCAGTATGACATGACGTGACACACAAGTTTTCTGCAGTCTGCAAATAACGATTCCAACTGCCATACAGAAAATGGTAGAGATGCACCGAGGAAAGATGAGTTAGTACCTTCCACATTTCTGATGAAGCCCTTTCAGATCTCACTTTGCTCATTTTCAAGAACAATACCAGTCCTGCATAGAGGAGATATTTTAGTCAGAAAGGACAGATTTTGAAATAGAAAATCTTCACATAAAATAATTAGAACACAAAAGACCTGGTTTAAACAACAAGTTCTTTACGACAACTGTTTCTTAAATTTCGCACAGCTCGATGAGAAATGGATAATTGGTTGAACAATCAACTCATTCAATCGCGATATTACTGATGAAATATTTGTCTTTCTGGGGAGACAGCAGATTCACCCCCTAAAACTATCAACCATGCATATCTTATTGTTTAAACTATTTCTGAAATCACTTCTCCACTCCCCTGACCCACCTCTGGGGACACACACACACAGAGGGAGAGAGAACTCTTGAACATTTGTAAATCACTCCTTATTGTTAAATAAAATAACTCAAATCTTTTATATCAGCTGATTCTGTGAAGAAATGGTGGATCAAGACGTTAGTTATTACACAAGTACTGAAGTGCCCATGTAAAGATTTATGGTGCATAGTAGCAATAGATAAGATTTTATTACTGAAAATGGCAGGACAACAATTTTCTGGGACCACATTAATGTGGAAGCGGGATAAATAATACCAGTGTATGAGATACTAACCATAGCATGCCAATGCCACTCCCAGCAAAAGAACTGCTAAGGCAAAGAGATCTACATACACCTGGATGAAACTGCACTTCATCAATTATCAAGAGGAAGGTGGGGAGAAGGTGGCAAAGAAAAAAATCACCCTGAAACAGTCTAAATTTATATTCCCCCAACAATAATTTAAACACCAAAGACCAGAATTGTAAGCAAATTAAAAATACCATGCTAATTCATTTAAGCATGAAAAGCATTTTACAAGAACTACCCTTACTCACAGGGGAACACATCCTCTCTTTCAACGAGATGCTCCTCTCAGTAAATACTAAGAAACAGTTTGGCTCCAAGTCGAAGGTATATACTTATTTGTGTAATAAAATCTAACTGCAGCTAAAAATGAATATGTGAGGCTCAAAGTAATCTATAAAGAGAACCAACAACTGCTAAATCAAATGGATTAAAGAAAGAATATGTGAAAACAACAATCAAGTAACACTTATCAATAGTGTTCTAGACAGTTTACCCACTTATTACATGGCCTTGCTCCCAATGCCAACTGAGGTTATAGAACAGATTGACAAGATAAGAAGGGACTTCCTCTGGAAAGGCAACAGGGAGAAACACAAATTTCATCTCATCGAATGGGAGAAGATCACACAACCAAAATACCAAGGAGGTCTTGGCATTAAGAACCTTGCAGCCCACAACAAAAGTATGATGATGAAGTGGCTTTGGAGATACAACTTGGAAGACGCAGGACTCTGGAAAGAGGTCATCATAGCTAAGCATGGAAGGCTGAATCAATGGTGCTCAATTATTACTACACTTCCTTACGGAGTGGGACTGTGGAAGAGTATTAGGATGTTGTGGGATACATTTGATCAGAACGCTTACTTTGAATTGGGCAATGGTGTACTCCTAAAATTTTGGACAGACAAATGGCTTGGAAATACCACTCTTCAGGAGGATTTCCCAGATCTGTTTAGAATTGCTCAAGATCCCAATTCTGTTATTGCTGCTAATAGAGAAGGGATCAATTGGGATCTGAGATTTAGAAGGAATA